CCAAATGTCCATCAATGACAGACTGGATTAAGAAAATGTGGCACATACACACCATGGAATACTATGCAGCCATGAAAAAGGATGAGTTCTTGTCCTTTGTAGGGACATGGATGCAGCTGGAAGCCATCATTCTCAGCAAACTATCGCAAGAACAGAAAACCAAACACTGCATGTTCTCGCTCATAGGTGGGAATTGAACAATGAGATCACTTGGACTCAGGAAGGGGAACATCACACACCGGGGCCTGTTGTGGGGTGGGGAGAGCGGGGAGGGATAGCATTAGGAGATATACCTAATGTAAATGACGAGTTAATGGGTGCAGCACACAAACATGGCACATGTATATATATGTAATAAACCTGCATGTTGTGCACATGTACCCTAGAACATAAAATATAATTTAAAAAAAAAAACAAAAATTAGCTGGGTGTGGAGGCACACGCCTGTAGTCCCAGCTACTAGGCAGGCTGAGGCAGGAGAATCACTTGAGCCTGGGAGGTGGAGATTGCAGGAAGCTGAAATCATGCCACTGTACTCCAGCCTGGGCAACAGAGCAAGACTCCATCTAAAAAAAAAAAAAGGAAGAGAATTCAGGAAGTATTTGTTAAATAAATTAGTGGATGGATACATGATACATGGATTAATGATAGTTCCCTCAGCTGGTTGGTTCTGTTAAATCTTCTGGGTCTGGGTCTATATACTCTCAAAGACCAACAGCTTGTCTTGCTCATAGAGATTTTTTTAAAAGTAACTTTTATATATAGAACCTTTACTATGTTCTCCAAGTTTCAGCTCAGATGTCCACTCCTCCAGGAAGCCCTCCCTGCCCCTTCTCCTAAGACCACGTTGAGCTCCTCCTGGAGTTCCCCCAGTCCTGCTCGGTCTGTGATTCCTGCCGGTCTGACTCCAGACCTTTCGTTTATGACTGGGATCTATATCACAAGCATGATTCCAGCTCATTTAATATTTATTGGCTGCTTATAATGAACTTGGCACTGGGCCTGGTTATTAAGCTCTCAGAAACAAGGAGCTGGTCATTGTTGTTTTTTTCTTATCATTGCTATTGACCATCGTAATCTCAGTTCCCGGTCTCCAGGGTTCCTGGACTTTCTGCTCTCCACGCTGGGCAGGGAAGGAAAGTCAGCCCTGGGGGTGGAGGGCAGAGGTGGGGTCAAAGTTACTTCCCTGCCACCACCCCTGTCTGTCCCGAGAGCGGCAGTCACTACAGTGTGTGTGACTTTGTAGCAGTGGGGGAGAGGAGAGAAGGGAGGTGGAGGGGCTGCAGCTGGAGTGAGGACTGTGTCTGTGTGTGCAAGCCGGGACAACAGACGGCCTGGCACACTGAAGTCAGGTGCTGGGACCCATGGGGCCTGCTGACTTATGGGGACACCACTGGATGGGAATCCTGCTCTCAGGTGAGTGCCCTGCTTCCTTCAGATGGGGGTGGAGGGGGGTTGTATCCATCTATTTGTCAGTGGTGTGTGTGTGTGTGTGTGTGTGTGTGCACATGCGCACACTCGAGGAAAGAGATGGAGGCAGAGAAAAAAAAATAGAGACACAGAGACAGAGACAGAAACAAAGACAGATACAGATATAAAGATAGGGCCGGGCGTGGTGGCTCACATCTGTAATCCCAGCACTTTGGGAGGCTGAGGTGGGCAGATCACTTGAGGCCAGGAGTTTGAGACCAGCCTGGAAAACATGGCAAAACCCATGTCTCTACTACAAATACAAAAATTAGCTGGGTGTGGTGGCGGGCGCCTATAGTCCCAGCTATTTGGGGGGCTGAGGTAGGAGAATCACTTGAACCTTGAACTCGGCAGTGGAGGCTGCAGTGAACCGAGATCACACTACAGCACCCCAGTCTGAGTGACACAGCAAGACCCTGTCTCAAAAAAGAAAGAAAGAAAGAGAGAGAGAGAAAGAAAGAAAAAGAAAGAAAGAAAGAAATAGAGAGAAAGAAAGAAAGAGAAAGAAAGAAAGAGAAAGATAGAAATAAAGACAGGTACAAAAGAGATTGACAGAAGGAGACCTAAACAGAGACCAGAGACAAAGAGAGAGACAAAAATATATGTATATTTGTCAGTGGTGTGTGTGTGTGTGTACACACTTGAGGAAAGAGAGACAGAGGCAGAGAGAAACAGACACAGAGACAGAGACAGAAACAAATACAGATGCAAGAGACTGACAGAAGGAGACATAAACAGAGACTAGAGACAAGAGAGAAAGACAAAGTGTGTGTGTGTGTGTGTGTGTGTGTGTGTACAGAGAAAGAGAGAGAGAGAGAAAGATGGAGTCAGAGCCATAGAACCAGAGACCCAGGGAGAAAGAGAGAGAGAGGGAAATACAGGAAGAAGAGATACCCAGGGAGACAGAGACAAAAGGTAAAAAAATAACCTTAGAAATGTTACCAGTGGAGGCCAGGCGCAGTGGCTCATGACTGTAATCCCAGCACTTTGGGGGGCCGAGGTGGGTGGATCACATGGTCAGGAGTTCAAGAACAGCCTGGCCAAGATGGTGAAACACTGTCTCTACTAAATACAAAAATTAACTGGGTGTGGTGGTGGGCACCTGTAATCCCAGCTACTTGGGTGGCTGAGGCAGATAATTGCTTGAACCTGGGAGGCAGAAGTTGCAATGAGCCGAGATTGTGCCATTACACTCCAGCCTGGGTGAGAGTAAGAGTCTGTCTCAAAAAAAAAAGAAAGAAAGGGAAAGAAAGAAAGAGAGAGAGAGAGAAAGAAAGAAAAGAAAAGAAACACCAGTGGGAAAAACAGGGAGGGGCAGAGAGAGATGAAGACAGAGAACAAAGAGACAGGGAGAGAACTGTGTAAAGACACAGACAGAAATAGATTCAGAGACACGGGGAGAGAGGGAGTATCACGGAGATTCAGACAAGCAGATGAGAGATAGGCGGAGGGAGGCTGTGCCAGCCCTGGGCGGCCAGGTCCATGGATCAGGATGGGGATGAATGTGAAATTTCTGCCTAAAAGGCATCTGAGACAAAAGGGAGAAACTAGAATATTTTGACGAAAAAAGTATTTTGGAAGTGAAGACATTATTTTGCAACAGGTCATGTGCAGAGGTGAGGGCTCAGCCCAGCCTTGCTGTGTGTCTCTGAGACCAGCTTCTCCTTCTCTGGGCTGGCACTTCCTGGCTGACCCTGGAAGGGTGCAGGGGCTCCGTAGTCCTGGGAGGCTGAGAGTTATCAGCCGCATCCACAGGTGTCTCTGTGAGTGTTGCCTCTTCCTGATGGGACAAAGGCAGGGCAATGTGAGAAGAAAGTCAGAGGGAAGGGGCCACGGCAGGCTCTCCACGGAGGGAGGCTTCCTGTCTCGGGCGGATATGATGAGGCCCCTATCAATGCTTTCGCTCACATCATTTCACTTATCCTTACGACAGTTAAGTGAGGCTGGAACTGTTACTACCTCCATTTTTCAAATGGGGAAACTGGGGCTCAGATAGGGGATATCACTTGCCCAAATAAATGGCAAAAATGAGATTCAAACCCAGGTGGTCAGGCTCTGAGGCTGTGGGCCTAACCTCTAATAGCATTTGAGGCAGAGAAACCACAGACATGAGAACCCGTCATCAAGACTACCATCATCGTCATCATCGTTGCCATCATGGTGGCTGAATATTTGCTATGAACTCTGTTAAGCATGTCACATTTGATAATCTCACTCAGACTTCACAACCACCAGATAAGCTGAGTTCTACTATAATCTCCATTTTTCAGTTGAAGAAACTGAGTCGCACAAAGAGAAAGTCCCTTACCCATGATAGTAGGGCTAGTAAGTGACAGAGCTCATATTTGTTCCTAAGAGCTCGTGCCCTTATTCACTGACTGGGCAGAGAATGGGGCAGTGTTAGGGCCACATTGGGGCCCTTTTGAGAGGGGCAGAGGGTCTGCGTTAATGGGGCTCTTGGGAGAGATGAGGTCAGTTGCATGTGAGCACAGCTGCTGGGGTTGGGCCCCAGCAAAGTCTCATGTTTTGTTTGTTTGTTTGTTTGTTTTTGTTTTGAGACAAAGTCTAGCTCTGTCACCCAGGCTGGAGTGCAATGGCACTATCTCAGCTCACCACCACGTCTGCCTCCTGGGTTCAAGAGATTGTCGTGCCTCAGCCTCCCAAGTAGCTGGGTTTACAGGTGCTTGTCACCACACCCGGCTAGTTTTTGTATTTTTTTGTTTGTTTGTTTGTAGAGACGGGGTTTCACCATGTTGACCAGGGTGATCTCAAACTCTTGGCCTCAAGTGATCCGCTCGCCTCGACCTCCCAAAGGGCTGGGATTACAAGCATGAGCCACCGTGCCAGGTCCCATAGTCTCTTGCAGCCTCCGTAGTGGTGTGCAGAATGATCAAATGGAAAACTGGGAACTCATTTTTTTTGTGTGTGTTTGTATGTTTTTTTAAGACAGGATCTTGCTCTGTCACCCAGGCTGGAGTGCAATGGTGCCATCACAGCTCACTGCAGCCTCAAACACCCAGGCTCAAGTGATCCTCCCATTTCAGACTGTAGCTGGGACTACAGATGTACGCCAACACCCCCAGCTAATTTAAAAAAATTTTAGTACAGACAAAGCTTCACTATGTTGCCCAGGCTGGTCTCAAATTCCTTAGCTCAAGTGATCGTCCCACTTCAGCCTCCCGAAGTACTGAGATAACAGGCATGAGCCACCATACCCCGCCAAAAACTGGGAACTTCTGCTATCTTGTTCTCCTTTCCTCCCCATGCAAGTGAAATCTTGCCTAGGGGCACATCAGAGGAAGTACCAAAAGTCAATATTTTTCACCAAGATCACAGTAGAAGTACCTGTTAATCAAGGGCTGGCTCTGTGGACATCTCTGGGCTGACAGGAGGAATTACAGTGTTGAGAGCGCAGTCTTCAGGGCCTGGCAGGCCAGGTTTTTAGCTTCTGCCATTGATAATACCGTCTTGGTGAGTGACATCACTTCTCTGAGCATCGGTTTTCCTCTATGTGGAATACAGGGACCATCATGTGTCTCCAGTAGAGGGCACATCATTGGAGAGAACACAGTGACTATCAGGCAGCCCAATTAAAGTTTGCCAATATTCATTACCACCCCCACAACAACCCTAGGAAGCAGGTGATAGTACGCCCATTTTACAGTTGAGATTGAGGCTCAGAGAGGACAAAAACATGCTGCAGCTGGGCACAGTGGCTCACGCCTGTAATTCCAGCACTTTGGGAGGCTGAGGCAGGCAGATCACATGAGGTCAAGAGTTCGAGACCAGTCTGGCCAACATGGCAAAACCCCGTCTCTACTAAAAACACAAAAATTAGTTGGGCGTGGTGGCCTGTGCCTGTAATCCCAGCTACTTAGGAGGCTGAGGCTGGAGAATCACCTGAACCCGGGAGGCGGAGGTTGCAGCGAGCTGAGATTGTGCCACTGCATGCCAGCCTGGGCGACAGAGCCAGACTCTGCCTCAGAAAACAAAAACACACAAACAAAAACCAAACAAACAAACAAAAAACATGCTGCAGGTCACATAGCTGGTAAGTAATGAGTAGGACTCAGGTCTCCATGGGTGGAATGCCAGCCCTATGACCTCAGAGCTCCCTGTGCTTCTGAAGACCCTAGTCAGGCACCCCCCAACACACCTCTCCCTCCCTGAATGCCTCCTCTCTCCCCTTCTAGCCTCGCTTTGGACCCTATGGAATCCTCCAGCTGCAGCCCAGCTCACCCTTGATGCCAACCCACTTGATGCCACCCAAAGTGAGGATGTTGTTCTGTCTGTGTTTGGGACCCCCAGGACACCCCAGATTCATGGCAGATCCAGAGGTGGGAGCCAGAAAACAAGATGGTCATGTTGATCTCTGCCTCCATGGAGATCCCCCATCCGGGCCTCACACCCAAAGTCCCAAGAGGACGAATCTGATTGGCTCAGCCAGAGTCTGGCAATAACCGGTCCAGTCATCTGTGCCAGGGGTCGGGGTAAAGAGGGAGGGCTGTGACTGTCATGGCTGGGGTGGGCAAAGTTGGCTAAAAAGTGGGTGGGGGGGCTGGGTGCAGTTCCTTACGCCTGTCATTTCCAGCACTTTGGGAGGCTGAGATGGGTGGATTACTTGAGCCCAGGAGTTCGAGACCCACCTGGGCAACATAGGGAGACACCATGTCTACAAAAAAAAAAAAAAAAAAAATTCACCAGGTATGGTAGTGTACACCTGTAGTCCCAGCTATTTGGGAAGCTGAGGTGGGAGGATCGCTTGAGCCCATGAGGTCAAGGTTGCAGTAACTATGATTGCACCATTGCACTCCAGCCTGGGTGACAGAGCGAAACCCTATATCAATAAAGAAAAAGAGTGGGTAGGGGGCCCTTGCTGGCACCCGTGTCGTAAGCTTGATTGTCATTGCAGTTGACATTGATTGACCCCTGGTCAGGTCCCAGACCCTTTGCTTCACTTGCACAATCACTTTGAATGGGACTTGGAGAAGGGAAGTAACTTGCCCAAGATGACGCCTAGAATGAGCAGTAGATCCAGCATTCAAGCCCAGGCATCCAACTCCAGAGTGTCTTCCAGCAATTCCAGTCTAGTCCTGTTTCTCTGGGTCCCCCTGTGACTACGTCTTGTTTGTTCTTCCTCTACCTGTGTCTCTGCCTCTGTCTCCCTCGCTTGCTTTCAGAGCTGGCCAAGCCTACCATTGCAGTCAGCCCGGGCACTGCCATTGAGCAGAAGGATATGGTGACCTTCTACTGCAACACCAAGGATGTCAACATTACCATCCACTGGGTTTCCAACAACCTCTCCCTCGTGTTCCATGAGCGCATGCAGCTGTCCAAGGATGGCAAGAACCTCACCATCCTCGTTGTCCAGCGGGAGGACTCGGGGACTTACCATTGTGAAGTTCGAGATGCCCTTCTGCGCCAGAGCAGCGACCCCATCTTCCTGGACGTGAAGTGTGAGTCCCTTTCCATTCTCTCCAACCCCTCACCAACACTCACTTCCTTAGTGCCTCGTTCAGTCTCACAGCTTGAAATACCATCCAGATGTGGACTTGTCTACCTTTGAACTTCAGATGTATAACTGTTTGACATCTCTACTTGGATTCTACTGGAAACCTCCAACTTAATGTGTCTAAAATTGAGCTCCCAAACCTCAGACGTTTGATCCAAAACCTTGCCTGGATAGGGGTGAGCAAAGAGCATTAGCAGGCTCACTTATTTATTTATTTATTCATTCATTCATTCATTCATTCATTTTATTTGAGACAAGATCTCACTCTGTTGTCCAGGCTGTTGTGCAGTGGTGCAATCATAGCTCAATGCAGCCTCGACCTCCTGGGCTCAAGCAATCCTCCTGCCTCAGCCTCCCGAGTAGCTGGGACTACAGGCATGAGCCATTGCACCTGGCTAATTTTTAAATTTTTTGTAGAGATGGGATCTTGATAGGTTGCCCTGACTGGTCTTAAACTCCTTGCTCCAATCAATCCTCTTGCCTCAGCCTTCCAAAATACAACTCATATATAACACGTACACATACCGTGCAATACCACAGACATACAACACACACTCACACAAAACATAACAGGTGTGAGCTACCTTAACCATTCAGCTGGCATACTTTAGACGTATCTTTCAACCTTGCTTTACCCAGGGATGAGGCTGACATTTCATCTCCATCTGACTACTGCACCTCGTTTGTAATTGATCTAGCCTTTGAGTGGGGAGGAGGGAAATAAAGTATTTATTGATCCGTTAAAGACCTCCATAAGAGACCTGTTGCTGATGCTATTGTTACTGCTGTAATTGTTCCTCTCCTCTCAGATGGTCCTGATCCTGTTGAAATCAAATTGATGTCTGGTGTTGCCAGTGGGGAGGTGGTTGAGGTGATGGAGGGCTCTGACGTGACCTTCTTGGCGGAAACAAAGTCTCACCCACCCTCTGCCTATACCTGGTTTCTCCTTGACTCCATTCTGTCTCACACCACGAGCACATTCACCATCCATGCTGTATCCAGAGAAGATGAGGGCCTGTACAAGTGCTTGGTGTCCAACAGTGCCACCCACCTGTCCCGCCTGGGTACTCTGAAGGTTCAAGTCCTCGGTAAGTCTCCTTTCCTGGTTCCTCTCCTTTGTTCTTCTGAGAGTCAGATGCTGGCCATGTCAGAAGGAACCAAGAGTTCTTAATCCAGGGCCTTTGGATACTGTGTGAGGGAGAACCCCCTGCATGACATTGAGTTGCTTGCATAATGTTTGCGCCGTGTTCTAGAGGAAGGGTCCAGGATTGTCATCAGATTTTTGAAGGGATCTTGAACTCTAAAAAAAAACCTTAAGAGGCCGGGCACGGTGGCTCGCGCCTGTAATCCCAGCACTTTGGGAGGCTGAGGCGGGCAGATTATGAGGTCAGGAGATCGAGATCACCCTGGCTAACACAGTGAAACCCCATCTCTACTAAAAATACAAAAAATTAGCAGGCGTGGTGGCGGGCACCTGTAGTCCCAGCTACTCGGGAGGCTGAGGCAGGAGAATGGCGTGAACCCGGGAGGCGGAGCTTGCAGTCAGCTGAGATCGGGCCGCTGTACTTCAGCCTGGGCGACAGAGCAAGACTCTGTCTAAAAAACAAAAAAATCTTAAGAGCCACTAAGCTGCATCAATACCCCAGAGTTTGAGGAGGACCCAGGGGGATATCCAATGCAGCTGGTGACTGAGCAGGGCTCTGACCGCAGGGAAGTCTGGGCATACTGGCTCCTTTGCCTGGCCTGGCACATCCTGCAGGAGACCCTGGTGGCTCTCTAGGGGGTGCCCATGATTTGATTCTCTGAAGATAGGGGGAGGTTAACTGTCTACATTTAAAAACACTAACACAACACTCACATACTCCATATACACACAGATAATAACCCCACATGCACAGCACACTCACGCACATGTACAATACACACAGTAAACACAACTCATATATAACACGTACACATACTGTGCAATACCACAGACATACAACACACACTCACACAAAACATACACACATATAGCATGCACACAACAGAGGTGTACAACTTACTCATCACAAAGTATATAACACATCAGACATACAACACATACACACAAACCCACAACACATACAAATCCACAGCACATACACACAAACCCACAGCACATACATCCACACAGCATATGCATACAAATCCATAACACAGACACACAAACTCACAACACACATGCAAAATGGTCACACATACAACACATATACAACACACATGACATGCAAAACACAGACACACATATCTCACATACATCTACACAACAAACAAGATCACATATACATGACACACTCACATAAAACATGTATACACCTAATATGCACTAATGGACACACACAACATATATCATTGACATTCAGCACCCGCTACACATTACAGCCATTCAACATCAGACACTCAAGATGGACAACATAGAAAACACACCACATACCATACAGTCAACACCCTCAACACATACATACAACAGACACACAATGCACACACAAAATACATACACATACCACATGTAGCACATACTCAGTGCATATGCACACATCACACAACACAAACACATAACACAAACAATACCACAGACAGAACACACACTCATACACAAAAAAATACACATAACATATACTCACGTACAAAGTGCACATGTGTACCACACACATACTTCATATTCAACACATACACCCAACACACACAAGAAATGCAAAACACACGCGCACCACACACTCTCCGTATACACAAAACTCATTACATATTCACATGAAAAATCACACAACACACATTCATCCACAAAAGACATACATGTACCCCGCACACCAGTCATATGCAAATCATATACACATACACACCACCCACAACACACACACACGCACACACACACACTCCTGGAAAAACTTGTGGGCCCCACAAGGGCAAGAGATGGGGGAAATCTTCCTGAACCTGACCCTGTACCTCCACGTGTTTCCAGAAAAACTGACCACGCCAAGAGTCGTGCCTTCAAGCCTGAACCTTGTGGAGAACGCCAGGTCCGTGGACCTGACCTGCCAAACCGTCAATGAGACTGTGAATGTCCAGTGGTTCGTGAGTGGCCAGCCTCTCCTGCCCAGTGAGCACCTGCAGCTGTCAGCTGGAAACAGGACCCTGATCATCCACGGCCTCCAGCGGAATGACACGGGGCCCTATGCCTGTGAGGTCTGGAACTGGGGCAGCCGGGCCCGGAGTGAGCCCCTTGAGCTGACCATCAACTGTGAGTCAGCCGGGGCCTGGACCTTCCCCTTCTCCCTGCTTCCCTCCTTCTCTTTAAGTTCTTCCTTCCAATCATTCATGCTATGATTATTGAGCTCCTGCTCTGTGCCAGGCATGAATCTGGGCACTGGACAAGGCCAAGCGCCTGCCCTCAGGGGGCTTATGTTCTAGTGGAGAAACCAGACCATAAACAGAGAAGCACGTGGTAAGGCTTAGGGACACCACCAGATTTAAGCTTTCCCAGGGTCTCACTGGCCCTTGTCTATGGGGAGGCAAACATAGAAGCCAGGGAGAAGGGGAGTAAGAGGAGCTGTATTTGTCTGGATCCTTGGAGAAGCAGACCCCAAGGTGGGATTAACGGGATTATTCATGCAAGGGTTTTATTAGGGGAAATGCTCCTGTGAGGATAACTAGGGAGGCAGCTGCAGGAAGGTTGGGGAGAGCCATCAAACTGAGAGACTGAGATGCGAGTGTGACCCTGAGTGACAGGGAGAGGGACAGAGACTTGAATAGAAGCACCTGGATAACCATGCAGTTGAAGGAACACCCATCAAGGCTGTTGGGACCTACCATGTCTCCCAGGAAGGGGCCTGCCTTAGTTTCCTGGATGCACTCAGGTACTGGCAGGGTGCAGCCTGTGGGAGGGCTGGGAGTAGATCTGGGGGCACAGCAATTGGGCCCTTGGTCAATTACATTTCTGCTGTTGGAGGTCTTTGAAGAGCTTCTCCTGGTGGCCACAGTGGCAACTGTCCAGTGTTGCAGCTGTCCAGAATGGCCACTGTCGGGTGTTGAGAAGTGGTTGTACTGTGGATGTATTTTGAATATGCTGCTGACTGATATTAGGTGAAAGAGAAAGAAAGGAGTCAAGAATGACTCTAAGGTTTATTGCCTGAGCCACTGAAAGGATGTAAGAGTCATGAACCAAGATGGAGAAGATTGGGGGAGAAGAGGTTTCTGCTGGGAGAGAAAGGAGGGGTGCACTTTTGTACATGCGAAGTAGCAGGGAACGCAGAGGTAGGGGTTAAGTACATGTCTTTGCTCCTCTTTACACTTCTCTGTTGCTCTCTCCTCTTTTCTTCTCAATTCAGTCATTAAACCAAAAATATATGTTTTGTGCTCTCTCTGTGGTAAGCAACATGTTGAGCATTTGATACTTGCCATGATTTTCAGCTTTCACAGCCTGCTGGAGATGGCGAGGTCACTAAGTAGGCAAATAAAACACAGCATGATAAATGGGAACTTGGGGGACAAAGGGAGGGTATGGGGAGCCCAAAGGAAGCCTCCATCTGAGGCATGTTGCGAAGGCTCATCATGAATGGGGATGTCCACCGTGAGAGCTGAAGGATGAGTTGGAGTAGGCTGGTTAGAGCAGAGGCAGGGAAGAGCATTCCAGGCAGAGGGAAGAGAGTGTGCGACGGCTTTGAGGCAAGAGAGAGTGTAACAAGGATGGAATCTCCAAGTGGGATTTAATTCCTGAATGAGAGCAAGAGGTGTGGAAAGGTGGGATCGGAGGGGATCTGTAAGGATCAAATTGTAAATGGCCTCATCAGCCACAGGCTTTGTCCCAAGGGCACTGGGGAGCCACAGAGGGTTCTGAACACAGGAGGGACAGTGACAATTTAGTACTTAGGAAGACTTCTCTGGCTACTGTGTGGAGGATGAGACTGGGATGGGGAGACCAGGAGGAGCTGGGATGCAGGTGAGGGATCCAAGTGGCCATGGGGTCAGGATGGGGAGAAATGAACAGGTTCAAAGGATGTTTGGGAGGGAGCAGAGAAGGAGTATTCCTCCCCTCCTGGAATATCTCAATTAGCAACCTTTTGCATCCCTTCTAGTGTTTTACATTAATTTAAATAAAGTTTGACTCTTAAACTCTTTTAGGTTTTTTACAAAATAGAGACAGGGTCTTACTATGTTGCCTTGGCTGGTCTTGAACCCCTGAGCTCAAGCGATCTCCCTGCCTCAGCCTCCCAAAGTGCTGGGATTATAGGCATGAGCCATGGCTCCAGGCCCAAACTCTTTTAATTTATATGAGAAATCCAACAACTACTTTCATGTGTTTCCTTCTGGTATGTGGTAGAAGAGAAAAGTGACAATGATCCCCTCTGACATTACAAAGAAAATTTGCACGTGTTTATACCATTGAGAATACACAGGACTAGAAGTTAGGAATTATATGCACAGGACACAGCCACAATTTCCCTCACTCCCCCACTTCCTTCTCCCTCCCTCCCTCCCTTCCTTCCTCCCTTCCTCCCTTCCTCCCTTAGGAATTATATGCACAGGACCCAGCCACAATTTCCCTCCCTCCCTTCTTCCCTTCCTCTCTTCCTCCTTCCCTCTCTCCCTCCCTCCGTCCCTCTCCCTCTCTTTCTTTCTCTCCTTCTTTATTCCTTCTCACTCTGTCTCCTAGGCCGGAGTGCAGTGGCGCAACCTTGGCTTGCTGGCTTGCTGCAACTTCGGCCTCCCAGGTTCAAGCGATTCTTAGCCACTCTAGTAGCTGCAATTACAGTCATGTGCTACCACATCTAGCTGGTTTTTATTTTTATTTTTCAGTAGTGACATGATTCGCCACGTTAGTCAGGCTGGTTTTGAACTCCTGGTCTCAGGAGTTCCACTCACATCCACCTACCTCGGCTTCCCAGAGTGCTGGGATTACAGGTGTGAGCCACTGCGCTTGGCCTAGCAACAATTTCTGATGCCCAAGTGACCTAAAACTCTTCTTTGAATTAACTTTTGCAAAGGCAGGGGTTTTCTTTGTTTTTTTTTTTTTTTTTTTTTTTTTTTTTCTGAGATGGAATCTTGCTGTCTCACCCAGGCTGAACTGCAATGGCACGATCTCAGCTCACTGCAACCTCCACCTCAGTTTCAAGCGATTCTTCTGCCTCAGCCTCCCAAGTAGCTGGGACTACAGGTGCCCGCCACCACACCTGGCTAATTTTTTTTTTTTTTAGTAGAGACGGGGTTTCACCGTGTTAGCCAGGATGGTCTCAATCTCCTGACCTCGTGATCCACCCACCTTGGCCTCCCAAAGTGCTGGGATTACAGGCGTGAGCCACTGCGCCTGGCCCTTATTTTTGTTTTGATCTCCCCCACCCACAGTGTTGTGGACCACACTGTGCTTGTCAGACAGCTAAGGAGCAAAAGGGAGCATGTTCTGTTTATTTTACTGAAATTCCAAGGTGAAAGTGAATGGCTCGCTGATGGGGGCCAGGGTGCATCACGTTTGGTTTTACACACAGATGGTCCTGACAAAGTGAACATCACCAGGGAGTCAGCATCGAAGATGGTCAGCACCATCGAGGCAGAGCTCAACTCCAGCCTGACCCTGCAGTGTTGTGCCGAGTCCAAGCCAGGCGCTGAGTATCGCTGGACTCTTGAACACTCCACCTGGGAGCACCTGGGAGAGCAACTGCTCATCAGGGCTCTGACCTGGGAACACAACGGGATCTACAACTGCACAGCCTCCAACCCTCTCACCGGCCTGGCCCGCTCTGCTTCAGTCCTGGTCAAGGTGGTAGGTGAGTCTCTCAGGGTTGCCTTCCCCGAGGGGCCTTTCCTGATGCTGGTCCCAGCCACCTAGTCTACCCCTACCGAGGGCTGGAGTGTGGCAGTCTCTACACTGCCTGAGCAGGTTCTCAGTCCACAGCTGTTGAATCCTAACCCCTAATGCTCAGGGGAACATAGGAACTCTACTTCCTGCTATGTTCCCTGGAAAACTCTCCAAGCTGTTCTGAGCCTCAGATTGTTTGCCTGTAAATTGGGTTTGTGACGTGTATTAGTCCGTTTTCACGCTGCTGATAAAGACATGCCCAAGACTGGGTAATTTATAAGGAAAAAGAGGTTTAATGGACTCACAGTTCCGCGTGGTTAGGGAGGCCTCACAATCATGGTGGAAGGTGAAAGGCATGTCTTACATGATGGCAGACAAGAGAATGAGAACCAAGCAAAAGGGGAAACCCTTTATGAAACCATCAGATCTCGTGAGACTTATTCACTACCATAAGAACAATATGGGGGAAACCGCCCCCGTGATGAAATTATCTCCCAGAAGGTCCCTCTCACAACACTTGGGAATTATGGGAGCTACAATTCAAGATGAGATTTGGGCGGGGACACAGGCAAATCGTATCGTGACGCCTATCTTTCAGTCATTTAGGACAATGAGTCAGAGACATACCCAGTGAGGGAAGGAGTGAGCTATATGGGGAATCAGAAATGATGTTAATAGCAACTGGACATGACTGGCAGGGAGTCCCTGTATCTCTGTCTTTAGTTCTTGAGAAGGCAACAGTGTTACTGTTCACTGGGATTCACATCCTTCTCCAATGCTTATTAGCTGTGTGACCTTGGGCAAGTTACTTACCCTCTCTGGGCCTCTGATTTATTATCTAAAAAACATAATAATTCTGCCTATTTCTTAGGGTTGCTGAAGATTGTTAACATTTGTAAAGTTCTTAGGGCAGTGATTGACATATTGTATTTGTTAAACAAATAAAATTATTCCTTTTTTTTTTTTTTTTTTGAGACAGGGTCTCACTCTGTCACCCAGGCTGGAGTGCAGTGGCAAGATCATGGGTCACTGAAGCCTCAACCTCCCAGTCTCAAGCCATCTTCCCACCTCAGCCTCCTGAGAAGCTGGGACTACAGGTGTGCACCACCACCCCCAGCTAATTTTTTATTTATATATTTTTTGTAGAGATGGCCTCCCTATGTTGCACAACTCCCGGGCTCAAGTGATCCTCCTGTTTCGGCCTCCCAAAGTGCTAAGATTACAGACTTGAGCCACCACGCTCAGCCTAAAATTATTGTTTATTGAGCCTGTGCCACATGTCTGAATCCAACTTTCCCATATATAATATCAGCAGACACTTCTTGGGTACTTTCTATCAGTCAGTTTTGAGGTGAGCCTGTTGGTTTCTTCATTGTACAGGAAGGGAAAGTGAGATCTATAGACTCAAATCCTGTCATCGAGGTTTAAAACCAGGCTGGCCTCCTCAAGGTGTTCACTAAGCCTAGAACACCATTTATATCAACTTCCAAATTACCTCATTTAATCTTCAGAGCAATCTTGTGGTCTTGGTAAGACCATTTGATGGATGGAACAACAGAGGCTCAGGGAAGGAAGCGGTGAGTTCAGTTGATGCTCACGGGGATATTGTAGGATTTGAATGAGATCATGTATGAAGGGCTCTTGGTGCTTAGAGCTTGCTTCTATCATCATCATCATCATTATCATCATCATCACCACCACCATTTGTCAAGCATCTGGTATGTATCAGGAACTGTGCTGGTAGTTTTATACATGATCTTGTTAATCCCTTCAAAAGTCTATAGAGGCCGGGCACAGTGGCTCACGCCTGTAATCCCAGCACTTTGAGAGGGTGAGGCAGGTGGATCACATATTGTCAGGAGTTGAAGACCAGCCTGGGCAACATGGTGAAACCCAATCTCTACTAAAAAATACAAAAATTAGCCGGGCATGGTGGTGGGCGCCTGTATCACACTACTCGGGAGGCTGAGACAGGAGAATCACTTAGGAGGCAGCCAGGTTGCAGTGGTTGCAGAGGAGCCAGAGGTTGCAGAGAGCCAAGATCATGCCACTGCACTCCAGCCTGGGTGATAGAGCAAGACTCTGTCTCAAAAAAAAATTTTAAAGAGTCTATAGGGTTTGGAATTCTTATTCTTGCTAGAGATACAAAGAAACAGAGGCCGGGCCTGGTGGCTCACGCCTGTAATCCCAGCACTTTGGGAGGCTGAGGCAGGCAGATCACGAGGTCAGGAGATCGAGACCATCCTGGCTAACACGGTGAAACCCC